CCTGCCTGGCGCTTCACCTTAATGGGTAGGTATTCATGCATCATTCATGCATCACTGCGGCATGGTATCTCAGTGGGCTAGCACTATAAAACCAGCTTAAGTCTGGGCTAGTACAAGCAGCCGCATATACACATACACAGGCATGCACGTCTTCATATGAGCAAAATATTCTCAAGCACGACGTAAAACCCAATTTCACCTCACCACCTTTCTCAGTTAAGTCCAGACACTAGTACTCTTCTTGCTTGAATCCTATCTGAGAATAGTGAGACTCAAACCTACACTCTCAAAGTGAGGCCTCTAATCGCCAGCACACAAAGTCATCAGTCTAACCACTCACCCAATGTATCTTCCACAAAAATTGAACCCTTCGAACCTGTAGTCCAGATCACATACTATGTGTACCCCTCTGACAAGTGTATTCATTACCATGACTACTGACCCATGAAGATCCGGGTTAGAATTGGTCTTCAGTAACCTAAGGGGATCGGGTGGTCAGACTCGCTGACTTGGTTGACACATGTCATGGTGGGATTGGACAGGTTTGACTCGCTGACTTGGTTGACACATGTCATGGTAAGGGGATTGGATGGTCAGGCTTGCTGACTTGGTTGACACATGCCATGGTAAGGGGATCGGGTGGTCAGGCTTGCTGACTTGGTTGTCACATGTCATGGTAAGGGGATTGGGTGGTCAGGCTTGCTGACTTGGTTGACACATGTCATTGTAAGGGGATTGGGTGGTCAGGCTTGCTGACTTGGTTGACACATGTCATGATATACCAATTGCGTATGTCGATGCTCATGATGTTGATCACTGGATTGTCTGGTCCAGACTTGATTATTTACATACCGCCGCCATATAGCTGGAATATTGCTGAATGCTGCATTAAACAACAAACCAACCAACCATGACAACCAATATCAACCTACAAATACACACCCAGTCCTTGGTTCCCAACTTACAGTGGGTGAAATCTAACCCTGCTTCCTGAAAAGCAACAGAATCCTGCAGTGTCAGAGATATGAAACTAGATCAAATTGGAACATGTCAGCGAGTCTCATCATAGCAATAGTTTCCTGCATTCAGGTGGTATGACAATGTTTCAGCACTATTCAACATTAGAAACCGACTGACCAATGAGCACAATGAAAACTCATCAGCAACAAAGATGAATTAACATCAACTGATGAGGATGAGTGTCAGTGCCTTGCAAGGAATTGTTGGGATTTCATCACACTGTTTCCTGATTTGCTAACAATAGAACAGCAGGGGCTTGTGTTGCATTATTGTGCAGTATTCAGACACTGACTTTGTATTTTTTACATTATATTTGATTTAAAAATGTCTGTGATGCTGTCATTGTTGACTTACCTATTTATGATTCATACGCTGTAAAGGGGTAAAACTCTGTTTTACAAGTAAAGAGTGAGTGAGTGAGTTTAGTTTTACGCCGCACTCATCAATATTCCAGCTATATGGCGGAGGTCTGTAAATAATCGAGTCTGGACCAGACAATCCAGTGATCAACAGCATGAGCATCGATCTGCGCAATTGGGAGCCAATGACGTGTGTCAACCAAGTCAACGAGCCTGACCACCCGATCCTGTTAGTTCAGTCGCATCTTACGACAAGCATGACATGGAACACCAGACACTGGCTATGAAGGCTTTGGGGGCGATGGGGTAGCCTGGTGGTTAAAGCGTCTGCTCGTCATGCCGAAGACCAGGGTTCAATTCCCCACATGGGTACAATGTGTGAAGCCCATTTCTGGTGTCCCCCTCTGTGATTTTGCTGGAGTATTCCTATGCGGCGAAAAACCATACTCACTCACTCAGCAATGTTTACTGTCACTGATAACCATGATAAATGAGCATAATTCACTTGCTTAATCATTCATGGAAATAAACATGATTAAAAAGCTGTTTGACAGGGACACAGTATGTTACAAGGGATCAAATTTGTTCGCCAAGACAATCACAAATGTGAACATCATTCAATTTCACATCAAGGCAAAATGGTAGATTCACACGAGAGATCGTGTACCACAAACGACATAAAATGAAGGCATTCACACAAAGTTGAATCACAGATGACCAACTGGACCTAGCGCTAGTAGCTGGACAAAAGACCAAAACTGTATTGTAGTTTTGGGATTATAAATTTTAGGATGCAAATATATGATTTTTCATTTGATCTGGCTGTATGAGTCACAACCTATATTCATTGTATTGCCAATATATGCTATATTGTACAAAATATGTACCTTATGTACAATGATAAATAAAACATGCACTGTATGGAATAAAGAATAGGACAAAAGTCAACTGGATGAATGGCTGGGAGGATGACTGACTGGAAATAATATCCTATTCAGTTGCCACTGAGAAGTTTATCGAGTGTAAAGGTTTGCCGAGGTGCATGTTAAGCCCCCCCCCCCTCCAAATATGTCCATTTCCAGTAACCTGACCGACCTTATCCCAAACCCACCCGACCCTAAATCTTTTTTTTTAACCAAGTCAAAATCATGACTGGAGTGCATTTCAACTCATCAACTCAAATCGAGTATATGTTCATGTTTTTCAGTATACGTAGGGCTAAAATGCATTGCATTGAATTGGCATAATGGGCTCTCATTGACAAAACCTGCAAATAAATAACATAAATATTGATAGAAATCTTTCAATGTTTCATCACAAGACATTGTCACTACATGATATGGTATCCTTGTAAGACCATCTCAGGTGCCCACCTGGTGCTACTAAAATAAAAAAAAAAAAAAAATAGAACCAACCCACCTACCCTAGTTTTAAAAAGAATGTAACAGGAAACGAACATATATATATTTTTTTTGGCCTTAGCTTAATTGCAAATACATGCAACCTGACACAACAGAGGACATATAACAACAAACTCGAGTTTGGGTTACAACTTTAGATGGCCCTGTTAACTATACAAGATAATATTACCAACTCATAACCATCTTGAAAACGAATTGAGTGTGTTTCCAACCAATTAATTTTTTAACCGTGATTAGGTAATCACTTCCTCTTCATGGTATTCATTCTAAATTAGCCATCTTGGTCATCAGCAATGTTACTCAATTTCCCTTGCACTCGTCTTGTCCGTATACTTTCTCAGCATCAAATATAGTAAAATGTCTCTTATTTGTCTAGTCGGCTTAGTTTTTAGCAAAACTCCATTTCAGGGCTAAAAAGTACTGAAAACAATGCCAAACATTCTCAAAAATGTTTTGAATGGATCACTATTCATGAACATCAGAAACAAAATAGCACTGTAGTTATTATTGGATTTTCTCAGTTTTCTTGCAGTTAAAATTCTTTTCGGCTTGACATCTGTTTGAAAACTAATCAGTAGATTGTTATATTCATACGTAAGTAACAGCTTAGTCTGCTGTTTTTAACAACAATCAGCAGTATTCTAGCTGTAATGAACCGTGAAGATCCGGGTTAGAATTGATCTTCAGTAACCCATGCTTGTCGTAAGAGGCGACTAACGGGATCGGGTGGTCAGGCTTACTGACTTTGTTGACACATGTCATCGTATCCGAATTGCGTAGATGGATGCTTATGCAGTTGATCACTGGATTGTCTTGTCCAGACTCAGTTATTTACAGACCGTCGCCATATTGCTGGAATATTGCTGAGTGTGGCGTAAAACTAAACTCCCTCACTCACTCTAGCTGTAACGATAGCTACGTCTAGGATAGAAAAACTACTGATACTATGGACAACATTTCAAGCCATCGAGGTACCAATACAAAAACATGCGATCAACCTAGTCATTGAGTTTGACCTACCAGTCTATTTTAGTTACCTATTGCCACATGTATACATTCCTGTAAATTAACCCAACACTGATTCCCCACAAATGGCAACAATCATCTATGGCTTAATGTATCCATGTATGAATATTATCAGTGGAATGATGCATACATGTAGCATCAGTGGAATAGTGTATGCATGTTCACTCAAAAACTGCATATTGTATGCCTGTAATGGTACCCGGGAGGAAAAGTCTTATTAACCTTCTGGTGCCTCTCAGGCAGCTTGGGTTATCTGGGTTAAATGTTCAACATGATGGATGCGCTTAGAGCATGCCCATGCAATGTGGAGTTCAGCGCTATATACAAGTGATATAAGTGGCCTTAATTACTTTCATTATAGTTTGAACAGATATGAAATTACAAGTTATTTTTCATCACCCATCAATGACTGGGCCACAGGAAGTTAATGCATTGGACCTATTTGATCGAAAAATTATCAACAATGTTTTACAAATACAAATAATCATGATACCATCAGCTGATTAATGTATGCATGTATGAATGAAAATACTTTGTACATAAAATTGATATCTGTGCATTAATGAATGCTTGATTGATATCAGTGAATATAAATATAAATACCACTGATAACTTCAAGTAACTAATAAAAATACATCACTTGATTTAAAAACTGCATTGTTAAAATTGGTTAAGTTGAATAGGTAATTGTCCCATTGAGATTTGCTGCATTCACAAACAAGACTATTTAAATAAGAAAGAAGACGTTTGAAGTACACAAACCATTACCTAACAGTGTATCTTGATCATATACAATTTAATTTATTCATTCATTTCCATAATCACCATATCCATGTTCATAACGTAGATCCATCATTAACTTATCAATTTTTGTAAAGTTTCATATGGTCATTATACATAGACTCATACTCCATCAAAACCAGTAACATCTCCCCAATGATCATTTCAAATTGATCACATTTCAATGACAAATGGTAATACGACGTTTGTGATAAAGCTATCTTGCTCGTGGACGTATCGATCAATCTCATTTGGCTATCTTTCACTGTCTGATACTGGGCACCTGTCAATGTCTTCACTAGACGACATGCTCAAATGCCATTGTGAACTGAAAGTCTGACCGCTCTCTTCAAGTTAATATCATATGACATTCAAAGTAGCAGATCACTCTTACCGGTTCTTTCGTCTCTGTGTATCACATTTCGTCATCAAAACAGTAAAACAAACCAAAACTTGTCAAACACTTACAAGGAACACGGAAGTATAATTTGCGAATTCTGGTCGTAGTTCTGATTTTACCGAGGCATGTGAAAAGAGTAACTTCTGAAACGAAATACACTAATCAAGTCGATATGGCCATAAATCCTCCAAATATGATATGTATCATTTTTATTCCATTGTTCATACTTACTTTCGATTATGTTTTACTTCATATAAACATCATACGTTAACTTTCACAATGTGTTTGGTAATATCGAAACCGTTTCATTCATCATTCTACTTTTCATAATTGTCGATTGAAAACAACGAAACTGAGCTCTCTTGTGCAGACAAAAGCATCTGGATACAATCTAATAATTTCAGCTTTTGTCTTAATTTATGTTAAGGTGGGTTGGCTAGAATGTTGATGTGTATTAGCTGACATATGATTACTTATACGTTGATTGATTGTCGGTGTATCATCACTGTCTATCATTGCAATATACCGGATGCCGATCACAATGATTCGTTCGTCTCCCAGGCCGGAAGGAAATTTATTTATTGGATGCCAAGCATCAGAGCGCAACATCTAATATCATTTAAATTGCGTCGTTGAAATATTCAGGCTTACAATGCAATGATTATGCAAACTACGAACTAGAGCATGTTATGCCAGACGAAGGGAGGTAATTTCTTCCTGTGAATTACCTCCCCTATACTGACGTATTAGTCGTGGCCTTTTCCCTTTATCTTCAACGGAGACGATTTAGTTTGCCCATTAAAACAATGAACCAATATTGCTATCATTTCAAAGAAAAGAGGGCTAGAATGCACTTTACCGGGCGCAGCCCTCGCTGCTCCCTCTACGATCCTTAGGGTTTAGGGCTAGGGTATGGCACTCTTTACGATCCTTAGGGTTTAGGGTTAGGCACCCTTTACGATCCTTAGGGTTAGGGGTTAGGGAAACCCAGCAGCGCTAATTAATCTGAAAAAGTGCGCACGGTAAAGTGCAGTAATCCCGAAAAGAGTAATGATTGGGTAAGAATTCCTCCCGTTCCCCATCCCAAATAATATATATATAACAACAATTACTAGTAGAGAACTCATAAAGATAAGTAAAAGCCCCAAAATTAATTACAATATATAGGGTCGGACCACATTGCGTTACCTCTGTTAATCTGCGGAAGAAAGAAATGGGGGAACGAAAGGAACTCTTTCCATTGATTGTTATGGATTTTGTCATTTTCAGACAATCCCTTGAATACTGTTATTTAACAAAATCTGACTAAGTACTGGCAAACAATTTGCTTGGATACCGTGAATTTTATGCAGTAATAATATATTTTATTTAAAATGTTGAGTGTTCAAATTCATTTGATACAATATGTTGATGCATATTCCATAGATCAATTACCACCTTTTTCCATTCATAATGATTTGGTTGACATGTCATCAGTTCCCAATTGTGCAGATGGATGCTCATGCTGTTAATTACTAGATTGTCTGGTCCAGGCTGGATTATTTACAGACAGCCGCCATATAGCTGGAATATTGCTGAGTGCGGCGTAAAACTAAACTCACTCACTCATAATTATAGTTTATTTGGCTCAAAAGAGGACCGATGAATTGCAGTCGAACTCAAAAAGTGATAAACATATAATGCTCAATGAAACGCTGATCATAATAAAAACACCAGACCAACTGTGTGAGATTTTTGCAGGATTTATGTCCTGAAAATACAAAGGTTGTTTAACAAACTATCATTTTTAAAATTTTGACACAGTTCACTATTTGTTATGAGGGAGGAGTGCAAAGAGAGGAATAGCCAGGTGTACGCGGAGCACGTGCACAAGTGCCGACAAAGCTATTGATTCATTTACCTGAGCTGTGCCGTATTCATCCTTTCTCGCACACCTGGCTGTCTCTTTCTCTGCACTCCTCCCTCGTACCAAATAGTGAAGTGTGTAAATATTTTAATGATATTTTGTTAGACAACGTTTGTATTTTTTAGGACATAAATTCTGCCAAAAACTCACAGTCAGTCTGATGTTTTTATTATGATGGACTATAATTAGGTTCTCAGTCCTCACAATCCATGGAAAAGCCAACTAAAATAGATGTCAACATTTATTGCTGAGACTGGAGGCTTTACCATCACAGGCCTACCATACAAACGGTAAACAAATCATCAAAACTGAACTCATATACGTCAAAACAGAACACATACCCCCAAAATAGGAAAATAAACTTCCAAAACTGCAAGAATATCCTCAAAAACCGAAGCAATACATCTGTAATGGAAGACCAATCGTTTGAAATGGAAACAAAACTCGCCTATCAGCTACAAGAGTGCGCGAGAACAGTCGCCGGGCGTACAAAACGGCATTCATAGCATCCCAACACAACAGTCATAGCATCCCGAAATGGCATACGAATCGTCAAAGATGGCGGTGAGGGGAGATGAATAGGCTTTGGTACATAATGTTTTTCCTCACTATGAGTCTAATCTTGAAATTTTGATATCGGGATGTAGCACATCAGCCCCGTATTGTAGTAAGCTTCAAACCTATGTCCATACTTCTCAGTGTCAGGCTTTCAATTCTGCACAATGTGGTCCCTCGTTCGACTGAATAGGATTTGTTGTCAACATGCCGTGCTACTTTTTTTCTCTTCAGTTTTGTAAATAAAGTATTCATAGCATCACATTCAACATTACTATATTTTAGTAATTTAAAACGTTTACAAAAACTTTGTTCACTCTCCGTGATCTAAATGATCATTTTTTACTTTGACTTCCCAAAGTGCCTTTATTTTTTTTAATTTCTCAAACTTGTATTCACAGATTCCTGAGAGAGACGTGTCAGTCCTCTTGTCATCTGTGTCCTCAGACATATTCTTCTTAGTTTGGGGGCGGTGGGGTAGCCTACCCCGCCCTGATATTGCTGGAATATTGCTAAAAGTGGCATAAATCTAAACACACTCACTCTTCTTAGTTTGTATGTTTGTATGCCATCGCTGTACGTATGGTCATGTTCTCAGACGAAGATCTTCTAGTTTCATCTTACTTTATTGAAATCATTAAGTGAATATATTTCTTTCTGATACCTCTGTGATACCAAACCTTCCGAAAATTCCAATGTTTGAGTGTATGCCATGTAAAAAAGAAATTCAAAAGTCGGGTAACATTGCGTTCTCGTCAGAGAAAGAACATGAACTTGCTTATAATTTCAACTGTGTCTCAGGAAGATTTTATCATTCTCCAATTTTATCTTTTCCATGTACTCCAAACTATTCCATGCAATCCCAAACATTTTACATTATTTAACAAAAACATAAAGCTTAACATGAGGTACAAACATGCATCCGTCTTTGTTCTTGTAAGTCTCAAGGAGTCGTCTCTTGTTGGCTTGAAAAAGAAATCCCTGCCCTAATTTTAAAGTGTGCGAGTGCAAACTCGATCCACTGATTATAAATCAGTGGATAGAGTTTGCACTCGCATACTTCAAAAATGATCACTTAGATATGCAATTCACGGAGAATGAACAAAGTTTTTGTAAACTTTTTAAATCACTTAAATATAGTAATGTTGAATGTGACACTATGAATACTTTATTTACAAAACTGAAGAGAAAAAGTAGCACTGTTGACAACAAATCCTATTCAGTCGAACGAGGAACCACATTGTGCAGAATTGAAAGCCTGACACTGAATAGTATTGATATAGGTTTGAAGCTTACTACAATAGGGGGTCCATACATCCTTATATAAAATTTTCAAGATTAGACTCATAGTGAGGAAAAAAAATATGTACCAAAGCCTATTCGTCTCCCCTCACCGCCATTTTTGACGATTTGTATGCCGTTTCGGGATGCTATGACTGCCGTGTTGGGATGCTATGAATGCCATTTCGTACGCTCGGCGACCGTTCTCGTATGCTGTTGTAGCTGATACGCAAGTTTTGTTTCCATTTCAAACGATTACTCTTCTATTACAGATGTACTGTTTGGGTTTTAGAGGATATTCTTGCAGTTTTGGTGATTAGTGTTCTGTTTTGGTGTATATGAGTTCAGTTTTGATGATTTGTTTACCGTTTGTATGGTAGGCCTACATCATGTGGATAGAAAACCAAATACATTGTATGGGACACTCAGGAGTTATCTTGGGGAGCAAGCGATAGTCTGTGGCTGACAAACTGATTTCTTAGAATTGTTCGATTTCTGCCATATCATTACATATGCCCATAAGCCTAAAACTTATTTGAAAAAGGGATTTATCAAATTAGATAAGATCAGTAATTGGCATGTTGACCCAGTGAGCATGGTGAGATAATTGCTTACTGGAGAAAAAATTGTCAGTCATATCGAGCAAGCTATTTTGATAAACTGAATTTATTTCATCCCACTTGTCAATTATCATGTACATGCTACACAGTATGTTCTGTCTGGTAGGACCCTGGTATGGTATCAACATCTGTGTATCGCAGTAACATACTGCCATTTAAGTTGAATTTCAGAAAGAAAACTTTCCATGGTTCTGTTCCCTGAAACATTCATCAAATGTAGTTTGTTCATTAACAGCTGATTTACACTAAAAGGGTCCAGCAATGTATGATAGTCTTACACCACCTTATTTGAACAAATGCACCCATTCCACCAGACTCATCTCCATTATCATGATTATCCTCCTGATTTTAACATAAGAATATTGTTATCAATCACACCACTTTGCGTTTATGTATTCTAAACAGTGGACGTTAAACCGAAATAATTTTCAGAACAAATATATGTCATGATGTAAGTGCTGTTTAATACTAAAACAGCCTTAAACAGCTCTTATTGAATTTCAGGCCGGTGGGGTAACCTAGTGGTTAAAGTGTTTTCTCTTTCTCGTCATGCCGAAGACCCGGGTTTGATTCCCCACATGGGTACAATGCGTGAAGGACATTTCTGGTGTCCCCCGCTGTGATATTGCTGGAATATTGCTGAGGGTGGTGTAAAAACAAACTCGCTCACTTGCCACACTCACTGAATTCTGACAGTGGTTTGGAAACTGACCATTCAAAAAATTAGATCACTATGTTTGCTTGAGTATATAGTTTGAAGTTATATCATCCTTATGATAAGTGGTGTTCCGATGATCAGAAATAGTAAAAAATTGATTGAAAGAAGGATTAAAATTGATTATCGATTGTAAAAAATATATTTTCAATTAATCTGAATTTTGTTGTTTTAGCATAGCACACTTGAATGAAGTAAAGTAAAAATTAAATTTGACAAATATTCACGAACAATCATGCACTCAACAGCGTAAAGCTATGCGCGTTGTAACATTTGAGCCACTTTTCTTGTTTAATTACAATTCCAGTGTCTTTCTTGCATGCGTGTATTTCATTGCCTGACAGTATTTTTATAAAAAACATTCGTTAGAAAAAATCTGGGGGAAAACCCTTGAAATTGGTGATAACATTAAATATGTATATACTTCAATTATAATCGATAATCGTTCACCACAATCCTCCGGTAATCGATAGTGGATTATGATGTATGTTATTTCACAGACTGCAGCAGTGACTTGTCATGGCTGAAAACCAGGGTGTTAGTGCATTCCCGCTCCCTCCTATGCAGTATGCCGTGATCTACACTGATGAAAATATGAAGAAAGGCAGGACACCACACCCTCCACCACCCATACAGGTAACTATGGCTGACTGAAACGGTAACTTTCCAGTATGGTAGACCTGCTCCTGGAGGAAGTGCTGTAATTTGCCTTTTCTTGTGTATTCTGCAAGACCCTTTTCTTAGTCGGAGTGCTCTTTCAGTGGTCAATTTACTGCCAAGTTTGCAGAGTTAGTGAGTGAATGGTCCTTTTGCAGCATCAGCAATCTTTGAGTTATTGACGAGGATTGTCTGCATTCTGCCTTGGGTTGTATAAACTTTATCTTGCCTCACACATAAATGTCGTTTTCTGATTGGCTGAGCTCTTCTATTATTTTCAATGTACCCCGCTTGCAAGCAAGTAACATTTTCTATGTACCCCGCTGGGAATGACGAACTCATTTGGTACTTCGTAGTAGTAATTCTTTATCTCAAATAACATTGCATCATGTATGATGTACGGAAATTACCAATGTTTTGCGAATGCAAATCGATGGAAGGGAGATAACTCTAAATTCGTTTATCTTGTGGTCTGGTACTCCATACTATAATCCAATACACATGCTTTAAACATTTCAAAAAGACTACCAGTTGTCCGACTTCCATTTTTGTGATAGTCACGGTGGCTGAACAGGCTAGGCGTCTGACTTTGTGTGCTGGCGATTAGGTGCCTGACTCTGAGTGTGTTGGTTCGAATCCCAGATGGGACTCAACCCAACAAAAGTACTAGAATCTGTACTTTACTAGGAAAGTGTAATCCCAAATATAACATGTTTCATCCCGACTGCTACAAGTCAACCATCCCAACCCATACAAATTTCTCACTTGAAGAAAGATTGCCTAATATAGTGCATCTGAAATGTGTAAGGATTAGGTTCTGATGGTCATTTTTTCAGTTAAGCATTGTATGAAACAGTGATTGCAAATCTGTACATGTACTTTCAATTAGGTGTAAAGATTTTTAAAATGTTGATGGTGTGCAAATTATCATCGATGTTAACTTAATAAACATAGAACATCCAAATTATCACAGTATGTATATGAAATTATCAAAATGACATTGTACCTCTTTTTCATTAGAAAACACTCTCTCTATGCGTACACACTAGTAAACTGTGATGTAGGATTGGTGCACACTAACTTTGCTTTGATACACTTGATTCTAGCAAATTAGGGCTCCTTTGCCTTTAGGCAGGAGACCTATTGTAATCGTTAATGTTTTTATTATTATTTCTTATTCCGCCGTATTTTGTACCAGCCCTACAAAAAGCACCGCTGGACAGAATCGCTTGAAAAAAATTACCATTGTACCGACAGTGCTGAAGTCGTTTGTGCAAAAATCTCAAGGCTCTAGGCCCAATAGCAAAGGAGAGATAATTCAAAATTAATTCAAAATTTTCAATTTCCAAAGCAATAATCTCCGAAACTACAAGTCCGATAACTACCAAATTTCTGGAGCAGGTCTGGAATCCGATTACCTTCAATTTCAACTGCAGGATCCAAGGGGCTACGAGGCACCGTTTGGCCGCCATATTGGATTTAAGGAAATTTCACGTTTTTGACGGGTAGGCATTTCTGCAATCCATAACTCTGAATGTATGATGTCTAGAACTCTGCAAATTTGCACATATAGTGTATATACCTCAGATATGAATATCCTAAAGCTATGTTGCGATATCTTGAATAGTTACGGACATCAAAAAAACTATTTGAGACGTTCCCCGAATGAAAGAAAAAGAGTGCTAAACAAACTGACCCTCATCTCCAGGCTGAACACGCTAAATATGACGCAAACAGACTGTAAACAACGTACCAGTCATCATAAATAATGCTTACATTCAGAAACCCAAAGTTTGGGCAGATTAAACGAAATAGGGACTTCTTTATATCACCGACGGCCCAGGGATACATTGCCGAATGTGTCATAAGTTTCATCGACATTTACGGCACGGCAGATTACCCGTGCAAAGCATGCGACAGTCTGAAGGAAAGCGCAAGGACGATATCTTCTATAAAGCGACTACCACTGCAAAGCGTGGTCCACGTGCATATATGGGAGACGATGTCAATTTCAATTGACAATGACAAGGCTGTCCAGCGTGAGCGGGTTAAACACAAGCTAAACGATACTGAAGTAACAAATAGTATGTCTAAGTGTATTTTTAAAGACAAGTGTTATGTGCCAAAAACCCAGAGCGTTACACAAAATTAAAATACAGTGCAGTAGAGGTGTTATATCTTCATTGAAATTCAGTCTTTTGCAAGGGGTATGTCTTTAGGCAGCTTTTAAAGATTGTCAATGAATGAGCGTTCCGGGTCAGGGTAAAAGTTCTAGCTGTGGTCTAAGGGGGGTAACTCTGGTCTAGCTGAAGTAAGCGCTAGTAAAATCGGATCCGGTTTTGCAATGCCCGAAAAGTAATACGCTTCTGCTAACAATTCGGTGCTGTTTGAATGGATTTTAAAACTTCATAGGTGACCTGTATCGCGGTGTTACGTATTTTCCAGTATATATACCTGCTCTCGATTCACAAATTCAGTTGCAACAGCCCGAGTGTAACAGTGTAATGGATACTGATACAAAACTACTGAAGTACCTTAACTGCTGTGTAATCACAAGTTCACTTGCGTTAGCGTGAGTGTGACTGACTGATTGAGTTTAGTTTTACGCCGCAGTCAGCAATATTCAAGCTATATGGCAGTACTTTACATCACCGACGGCCCAGGGATACATTGCCGAATGTTTCAAAGAGTTTCTCACACATTTACGACACACGGCACATTACCCGTGCAAAACATGCGACAGTCTGAAGAAAAGCGCGTGGACGATTATAGCCGCTCCTTCAACCGCGCTGTTTGCAATTGATTCCACACAAACGCAGACAAGTTGTGCACGTTTATTCACCGTGTCAGCATGGATAGCACTTGAAAAGTAATAGGTAAGTATGCAGTCATAACATCTACATCTATATCTACATATCAACATGTGCATGGGATACCTTGGCGACTCTTTGTCGGCTTAATTTCCCCCTCATGATATGTCCTATAAAGAGACTACCACTGCAAAGCGTGGTTCACGTGCAGATATGGGAGACGAGAGAAGTGTGTATGGTTGCGAAAGCTATGTAAATGTGCAAATGCCGCGCTCTATCGATCTGCCCTTTCCAAGTTTAGATCCGGTTCTGCACCTCTAAAGTTGGAAACAGGCAGATATTCAAATATGCATGTAAATGAAAGAGTGTGTTTTCAATGTAGTGATAAGATTTAAGTCGAACGTCATGTACTGTTGGCATGTCCGCTGTACGATGATCTACGTGAAAGTTTATATGGCCATATGTGGTTCAGCTATCCCAACTTCCTAGATTTATGTTATAATAAAGAAATGATTTTACTATTTAAAGAACATGTTTATTTTACAGCCAAAACCTGCGTTTATATTCTTCAAAGAAGAAAACTTATTTTATGCGGCTAAATCCTTAGTGTACCTTTTATCATATATGCCACTTCTATGTAATAGTCTCTCATAACCCCTTAATTGTGGCTCATTTTATGTATATGTCTGTATATATCTGTACTTTTACATGAGGTGAGACTTAAGTAAAATATTTGTCTGTCTTCTCAGGACGTGGACAGACGGTTTTCCTTGATGTCGTCTGTTTTAAGTAAGGGATTAACTGGTCGGGAAGTGTTAAAATCTTAACTGTTACCGGAATTGTGAATGTTTCGTGAGTCTGTTCACTCTGGTAGTTCACTCTGGTAAGCATGGTTAGCATGTGACTATGATAGGTGAGTGAGTTCACTCAGAAATCGCTTGCAGTGTTGACTGATTTCATAAAATGTGTTCACTCCGATAAGTGTACACGCTAGGTGAGTAATAATCACTGTCAGGAAATTGTTGCTACAGTTAGATTACAAATTACTTCTGACATTTCGAGGCGGAAGATATTTCTGCGTGAATTGACACACATACAGAATCCTGAAGAGAAGAAGAAATGACTTGTGTTCGTGGCATCAAGTGTTGTAAATCAACTGTATCTACAGGTAACGACATCCTCACACAACCACCCCGCTGATCCAAATGAAACTGAGATTTGTCGATGTTTAATAACCGTGGGAACATTAGCGTCATTGCCGACACAGTGTATTATAATTTTATTAAAACTGTAAATAAACCCTTGTTTCGTTTCCTTATACTTACGCAGTCTAGTATTGCCTGAAGTCTTGCAATCACAAACTCTGTCTACTGTCTGGCGTTAATTAGCTTAGTAACCCACAGTGGACACATTTTTCTAGACTTTGTTTTTACACGACTTAGGATGTCCACGTCCCGAGAATACCCCTACTGGAGTACCTTAGTTGCTGTAAAACCACATGTTCACTTGTGTCAGCGTGAGAGGAACAGCTTTATGGATATTGATAAACGCTACAGAAATACGTGCTTCGTGTCGACATGTCTTTTTGGTTGCTGTTGATATTTAGATGGAAATGGTGTCTACCAACAGTGCAGAAAAAATCCGCACTAAACTCGCCAGGTACCTCTATCAGTAGCAATGCACCATAATAAAGAGCATGAAAATGTCATTCTTTCGGTAAAATGACACATTAGTTGTGTTTACTGACTGTTAAATGTGAATCACGACTTGTCAGCTACATGTGACGTACATTTAGATTCACATAATGTCAGTCACAGTGAACCTTTCAAAGTATTTAGTTGAGCATTTTCTGTTTCTTTGACCGTTTGAACAAAGGGTTCTTCTGTTTTAATATTCATGATACCTAAGTGATATTATTTAATGTACGAAAATAGGTTTCGTGATGAGTTTATCGAAACTTAATGACCTTCCAGTACTTCCAGTCGAAGAGCATTCGACTAGCAGTGATATGATTCATATTAACTAATACCATTACTACATTCATGAGATATGTGAGAGATGCAAAAGGCTCCAAAGAAGTAAATCCAAGGAGCCCTACATCGCTGCTCGTAGCTATATTTCATACTTGTAACTATATATTGTCATTTAAATCAATCAATCACATTGTGAGCAGAAATGAGGAGCCTACAGTCATTGATACTCTAAAGTTATAAAAACAATCATAAATTTTATTAACTTAACATACAATTTGTGTGTCTGTTTTCAGGATAACTACACCATGTTCGGGAGCTCCCTTCACAGCCGACGATGCCATCATTCGACCACTGGAGGCATCAGGCTGCAAGAGACTCTATCCTCAAAACTATGATCACAAACGTGAACTAAAGAAACTGAACCACTCAATTCTTGTGAACTTCTTGGACATGTTGGAAATCTTAATCCGTGCACCAGAATCTCCCAAACGAACAGAGAAACTGGAGGACCTGAACTTGTTGTTCATCAACCTGCACCACTTGGTGAATGAGTTCCGCCCCATCAGGCCCGCGAGACACTGAGAGTCATGCTTGAAGTCCAGAAAAACCAGAGGCTGGAGATCGCAGACCGATTCCAGCAGCACCTTGACAAGGTGAAAGAGTTAATAGAGAGCGCACTGGCCAAGCTCCCCGAGGACGTGAACCTCGACTCCAAGTTGCTGGTTGAGAGTGAACTGATGTTGGAGAATGCAGGCACACTGAATGATGCCTCTGATGATGGTGAGCAGTGTGACAGACTGGACAGCATGATGTGCGACATTGTGGATGGAATGAGCTGATGGTGATGTCCTTGTCTTGTGTTTGCATGTCATGTATGTTGCATTGTACCATGGGAAAAGTATTAAACACATTATCATGTACAATAACTCCATGTGTCTGTTATAGAATTGCCTTTTTTCCATATTAACATGATGATTTAAATAAGAAACTTGAGATCAAAATGTATTCACAAAAATGTAGAGAATAATAATTTAGAAGAACATTTTGGAGAAAATGCCTGAATGCAAGCCTTGGTTACTTATAGCTGAAGTCCACATGCTTCATTCTATCTTCCTGGTTTATCAAAGCCTTCTGTGTTGTCCATCACAATAACATTAATCATGTAACCTACCACCCTAAATACCTACACAAGACAAGAGTTACCCAGTGTGGAGGTAAAAACACCCACACTGACAGTAAAAGGCAGTCATGTTCGCCATTATAATTCAAACCAGATCATCTTGTATTTTGACCCGCAACTTCCACATATGTGAACTACAACTAAATGTCATTGTTTTACCAAGTATTATGTTTATTTGACCTATAAGTTGGACTGAATAAAATATACTGTACTGGGGCTCCTTTCACGAAGCAACCTTTACTAACGTTAACCTTAACTCCCATTCTTTAACATTGTACTAAGTTTACCTTAGTGACTTACGATCACCTTAGTGCTTAGTGAAAGGAGGCCCTAGGTCCCACCCACCAAACGTTCGCACTGCTATGTAAGCTTATGATAGATTATAGAGTTACGACAGGTCGTAACGTTAGGAACGCTTGGTGAATTGGGACCCTGTACTATAAGGTGGATCTATCCAGGTGCTGGTATCTGTTCAAATGTGGTTTATTTGTACTCAGACCACTGGATCCGTATGCATTCTGAGTCATTCACACGGGTGACAACACAGGCCCTCGTGTCTGCGCGAGAATTAAAGAGTTAAAAAATATATATACACAAAACTTTACACCAAAACGCAGCTGTTCACATGCATGATATTTGCACATGCTTTACAGCAATTTGATGCATGATCCTCGTGCAATTCATCTGCAATTCATCTTCATCTGGTGTTCAGTTGGTTCCCCCAAGTTATTGGCGAAATTCATCTTCGATGTAACCATACATATATATATACATAACATATAGTGAGTGCTTTAAGTGAGTGTAAACTTTTGATGGGTAGTATATGTATATATAAATTTGAGATGACCCCAGACTCGAAATGCAAATATGATGTATTGTACTGGGAAGCATTTGGAGTCGGGTGTGTCATCTCAAATTTTTATATATTTATGTTAAAGTTTTAATCCTCGCAAAGACACGATGGCCTGTAGGGTGACAACACACGTCCTGACACCTGTATTTTTGGTGTAAACAAATAAGAGATTCGAAATTACAAAATGAAAAAACAGTTAAGACCAATTACCAATCATTTAGCAAAGAATACACCATACATACACGCTCATGTTTTCGAAGCACGAACAATTAACGAACATGAAACCAAAGAACACGTGTAATCAGGCACAAGATAGAAAAAATAAGACTTTTAATTTTTGACGTGCACAACTGGTGGCTTAAATACGGAGTATAGAACAGTGCCGTTCTTATAGATCATTACAAATACGGTGAGTCAGTCTCATGAAAATAGATCTTTCACTCCGCTACTATACCTTTGTACATGATAATGTAACAAACTGACTGAACCGTACATAGGACTTTGTCTTGTCGCTCCAAACTTTGTTCATGGTCGTCACCTCATATTATGTTCATTATCGTAACTACAGCTTTGTTCATAGATGTCTGTTACCCGTGAAGTCAGGGTTGGAATATTGATCTTCAGTCACCCAGGCTTGTCGTAAGAGGCGACTAACGGGATCGGGTGGTCAGGCTCGCTGACTTGGTTGCCACAAGTCATCGGTTCCCAATTGCGCAGATCGATGCTCATTCTGTTGATCATTGGACTGACTTGATTATTTACAGACCGCGGCCATATAGCTTGAATATTGCTGAGTGCGGCGTAAACCTAAACTCACTCACTCATAGTTGTCTGTTTGGGTTTGATCTTTGTCGTCCAAGGCGCCCTTCAACCCAAATGCACTCTCTCACTTCTTCGTGATGATCGTCACTTGAGACTGCTTACGACCGTCACTTCAGCAGTAAACGGACATAGAGACCTGACAAATTAGCGTAATATACAGTACCTATGTCCATATAATCTGTCTGTAAGAAGGGCATCGTTCAATATATTATTGTTTCTTGAACAACGTTGGTCAATAATGTGACTGTTGTGTGTGTATAAAACCCAATAATCAGAACATTTGTATAGCGCTGATCTCCACACCTCTGGGCATGCTCTTAGCGCATACAACAGTTCAAGTCAATTTTAATATCTCCCAAAGCGATAGGTCTTGAGATGACCTGAGATGGCTTTAAAAATGTCAAGTGAGGGAGAGCATCTCAGATCCTAGGGATGAGAGTTCCAAAGTACAGTACAGTACGCATACTGAAAGGTTCTGGCACCCAATCATTTTAACACAAAGGAGGAACGGATCAGCCGAGTGTAGGCTTCGTGTAGGCTTCGTGTAGGCTGGCAGACAGATGTTAAAGTTTGTAGGTATGGAGAAGATGTCTTGTGAACAGCCTGGTATGTCAGTGACAGAATTTTGAACTGTATCCCAACGAGATATGGCTGAATGAGTCAATGTGTATGGTCCAGCGAGTCTTGAAAAGGCACTCCGGTGACTCACATCTTGAGCATCACCCTACGCGTTAGGATACGAAGACATGCATCTAGACCAAGACAGCGAACCTGACCATCCGGTCCCGTTAGTCGCCATTTTCCGACAAGATGAGTATATGAAGGTCAACTCTACAATTAACAGTCACTGAACAAGGTTACTGGTCTCGGGATGGCTTACAACAGGCAACTGTGGCACCACTTGTCATCCCTTTAAGTCGTGACTATGACACTACGACAGACGAGGAACCGACAGGTCTCCCGGAATAGATTTTGAGATGTCCCCCGCCATGACTGGCTGTTCCGTTTCTGCGGTTTCACCCCGCCGCGACAGATAACAACTTTTGCGTTTTCAATGATGATAGTTTCTTAAACAACTTTTTTGGTGGAGTCCGGAAAATTTTCAAATATAAGAAAGCTGTTGGGTATTAGTAAATGATTAACATGTGTACTATTTATATTTATGTGGCAATTTTGTACAATGATAAAATTTGCAATTCATCGGCCCGTTTCTGTCTCAAACGGACTGGGGTTTTTGTTTGTATTTTTGTAACACTGGATCTTCATGGCTGGTATCTGTAATACCTTAAAGGTTGGAACCCATAACACTCATGAGGTCTACCTAGCCCTCCAGTGACTGCAAGTAGACCATGGGGCGACAGGGTAGCCTTGTGGTTAAAGGTTCGCTCGTCACGCCGGAGACCCGGGTTTGATTCCCCACATGGATACAATGTGTGAAGCCCATTTCTGGCGTCCCCCGTCATGATATTGCTGGAATATTGCTAAAGACTAAACTCACGCACTCAAATAGACCTCGACAAGCACAGTGTCCCCCTTTTCTCCTGTCTTTCGTCATTTCAATAATTCCCAAGTGAATTGCATCTTTAACAACATGTAAAGGGTTGGGACTAAGCTATAATTGACTGTTGGTCGAGGAGACGTCTCAATGGTGAATTTACCACCACGACAGAAGCTATTGTTTATAACTGTATCCTAATGTATTGAAACCCTGGGTTCGACAGAATAAGCCCCATTGTAGATAAGCGTAGTCATGACAGAAAATGTAAAAACCCATGACTTATTGTCACGACCAGCCGTAATGTCTATATGTGGGAGTAATCAATGGTGGAGAGATGACACGTGATTGCAGGGAGTTTTGTATGGTCCGCGCGACACTCTTCCGGACTGGTTTTTTTTCGTTCCTTGTATACGTCTAACACTGTGTTCCTCTTTTCTGTACATGTCAATATTATTGTCCCACAACGACAGAATTATGTGGTGTTTTTCCATGGCAAACCGGATGAAGGCACTCTAACATGAATACATTCAGAGACAGTTCAAGAATCTAGACTGAGAAGTGCGGCGTCTTGAACCGCATCATCACCTTTAGACTCTCTTCCTGACATTACAAAAGTCTTTGGTTTCAAAATGATAATTAAGGTAAAACCTATTTTTCTTCTTTTTTCAAAATACTCGTTTCAGTCATGTAAGTGATTTAAACAAGCTGCCACTAATATCCCGACTAGGATATTATATTTCAAGATGTGAAACATTTATTGGCCTTCAGTAACCCATGCTTGTCGTAAGAGGCGACTAACGGGATCGGGTGGTCAGGCTCGCTGACTTGGTTGACTCATGTTATCGGTTCCCAGTTACGTAGAGCGATGCTCATGATGCTGATCACTGGATTGTCTGGTCCAGACTTGATTATTTACAGACCGCCGCCATATAGCCGTAATATTGCTGAGTGCGGCGTTAAACGACAAACAAAACAAACAATAATATTTTTATTTACATATTTCACAGATCAAATACTGTCATAATATATAAACATAAAATACTCAACAGTTGTTTAAAAAATGGGGCACTGTTTCGACATTTCAGGTTTGTTTGTATTTCTGTGACGTGTTGCTAAATTCGGAGGCAATAGAGACGTATTGTCTGGGAGATCACAGACACTGAACAGTCGATAGTTGAGCAAGTGGCTGACGTGGCGTCAGTCAGCCCACAGCAGCAAAACAATATGCTACAACAGTCTTTGTTTACAAATAAAATGAATGCTTACTAGAAAACGTATAGAACCACGAACACGTGTGTGCGTGCGTGTATGCGGGCGCGCGTGCGCGCTCCAGTTTCCCATTTCAGTGTAGATTCAGAGGGTGTAAGTTATGTTTCATTTGAAACACATACATTGTCTTTGTGTAATACAAGTATTGGTTTAGTGGTGTAATAAGTGATTTTGTCATGACTTTCGAGATACCATATATTCTACACATGCAGGTATAACATGTTAGGTAAGTAATATCGCTTCATCTGATTAATATCAATAGCATTTTTGCATTACACTAGAAAATATATTCTCTTATACATTC